GGGGGCAATGGTGATGGTGTGAGGTTGTTCCCGCAGGGGAGGCTCTTGGCTCACTCAGCCTTCTCCACAAACAGGAAATCCACAAGTGGCTCTGATCTCCTTTTCAGGAGAGAAGCCATGCAGGGCATTCCTCCCCCTTTACTCACTGCTCTGCAAACCCCAAATACCATCCCCGTGATGGCACGGGTGCTCCAGCCACCCTACCCCAGCAAACGCACCTCGTTCCTCTCCAGGGTGGGAGCCGGAGGTGTGAGGATGTGGTGGAGGGGCTGCACATGCCAGGCTGGGGTTTTGGGGCCAGGAGGAGCCAGTGTCAAACAGGGAGCTAGGAATGGAGAAAACCCCGTCATCCCTATAGAAAGGTGAGGGGATGCGTGGTTGGGCCTCTCATTCCAGTGAGTGCTGGCTTGTTGCGTGGTGCCAAGGGGTGTTCTGGATAGCAAATGCAGAAGTAACTACTGATATTGCTCTTTCTTATACATATGTGTATGAAACGTGGGGTGACCAAGGGATTTCTGCTCCCCCCAGGCTGAGGCCGAAGTGGCTTCTCTGAATCGCCGTATCCAGCTGGTGGAGGAGGAGCTGGACCGAGCCCAGGAGCGCCTGGCCACTGCCCTGCAGAAGCTGGAGGAGGCTGAGAAGGCGGCTGATGAGAGCGAGAGGTGTGATGGGGAGCAACAGCGGGGATGGCATTGGGTCGCCACTAATTGCAGGCAGCCCCCTTGGCTTTGCAGTGGGGTCCTTCTGAAGTGACCCCGTGGATGGGGTTTGTGTTGGTTTTCCTGCAAACCCTGAAGGGAGAGAGCAAAGCCACAATGCAGAGAAGTCCCCCAGATACAGGCATTCTTAAAAAGGCTTTGAAATTTCCAGGGCACCCATGAAAACTTGAAAAATTTGATCTGGTGTTTATACAAATACCAGGCTGTAGCCAAAGACAGAGGGTGCTTGGAGCCTGTGTTCCACCCCAGAACAGCCTCCTCTGCACGAGAGCTGAACGACAGCCCAGGGAGGGACATCCGTGCCTGGGAACTAAGGTCAGCTTTTGAGACCAAACAAGCCTCATTCAAAACAAGTCCTGCAAGGTGTGTTGTCCCATCCTTGCGACAGGCAGGTTTCCCAGGCAGGAGCCATGCAGTTGAGGGCACTCAGGTTGTACGGGAGTGCCTGGACATGTCGCAGCGTTCCTGACAGTTACGTGAGCTCTTCCCTCCATTGGCAAAGACTAGTTTGAGCAGCAGAATCTGAGGCCGAGGTAAAAAGTCTGCAGAACTCCCTGCCATGGGGGTCCACAGGGGTTTGGTGACCCCTTGCTTGTGAACATCAGCCCTGAATGAGAAAATGGCTTTAAACTGAAAGAGGGTAGATTTTGATTAGATCTAAGGAAGAATATTTTCACATTGAGGGGGATGAGGCACTGGAACAGGTTGCCCAGAGAAGTTGTGGATGCCCCATCCCTGGAAGTGTTCAAGGCCAGGTTGGACGGGGCTTTGAGCAACCTGGTGTAGTGCAGGATTTCCCTGTCCATGGCAGGGGGGTTGGAACTAGATGATCTTTGAGGTCCCTTCCAACCCAAATATTCTATGATTCTATGATTCTATGATTCTATGCGATGTTTTCTAGCATTTTGTAAAGGTTGCCAGCCCATCGGCTGCTTTTGTGGAGGTTGCAGCTGGCTCATCCTGGGCTGTGTACATTTTTTCCCTACCAGATAAGAAGTTCAGGACCTGCCTGATTGAGAGGCCCCATAACCGCATCTCCTCGCTCTGGGACATGGTCCTGGGGCCAGCTCCTCTGCTGTAATTGTGTGCAGGAGCATCCTTGGAGTACCGCTGGAGTGACCCTACTGCGTGGGGTGGCCAACAAGTGCCAGCATCCCCAGGCAATGTCTCATGTCTCTGAAGCTGGAAGATGGCAGGGTTAGGGTACAGTGGGCAGGCAGGAGGTGCAGGTGCCACGGCAGTAACGTCTTTTGGCTTGGGCTTTCCTCAGAGGCATGAAGGTCATCGAAAACAGGGCCATGAAGGATGAGGAGAAGATGGAACTCCAGGAAATGCAGCTGAAGGAGGCTAAGCACATAGCAGAGGAGGCTGACCGCAAATATGAGGAGGTGCGTGTCCCCTTCCCCCAGTCCTGATCCCGCCAGCAGCACCTGGGGCCACCTCCTCACAGACCTGTGCCTCCGTCTGCGGCAAGCTCAGGGCCAACGCTTGCCTCTTGCTGCCGTTGACAGGTCGCCCGCAAGCTGGTCGTCCTTGAGGGAGAGCTGGAGCGCTCAGAGGAGAGGGCAGAGGTGGCAGAGAGGTGAGCTGGGCTCCTGGTGGGCGGTGTGCAGGGGTCCCACGCAGCCCTTGCCCCAAGTCCCTGGCAGCTGTGGGGACAGGGATGTCTGCGTGAGGACGGGGATGTCCCTGGGAGCGGCAGGGTCTGCCATCAGGGTGGTCCCTGGGCTCACAAGCTGGGGGCAGGGGGATGCTGGCCCGCTGGCAGCACATCCTTGACCCTGTTCTCTGCTGTCCTTCTGCCGGGGTGCCCCTCTTCCACCCCAGCCGAGTGAGACAGTTGGAAGAAGAGCTGCGGACCATGGACCAGACTCTCAAATCCCTCACTGCCTCAGAGGAAGAGGTACTGGGGCAGGGGCGCGGGGCGACGCGCAGCAGCCCCTCTCTCTCTATCACTCTCTCTTGAACCATGTGAGCCACGTCTCTCCTCTCTGCACCACTGCCTCTGCCACTGACCTCCCCTCGCCTCCCGCTCCGGTGGGCGCAGGCTGGTCACACTCCTCTATCCCTCCATGCCTGCTCTCCTCCTTGGTGGCGCTGGCAAGAGCCCGGCTGGTGGTGATGCACAGGGTGTCCGTGTGAGGAGGCACAAGGAACGGGTGAATGGACGTGTCCTGGCAGCACCCACTCGCAGCAGCTCTGCTCTTCCTCCACCTGCGCTGAGTTTTCTCCTCTCTCAACTTGTTCTCTCTCTTTCTTTCCTTCTTCCCCATGCCTCTCTCCATGCTCTTTCCACTCCCTCCTCTCTCCTCCACCTGCCCCTTGGCCCTGCTCCCCTTCCTGGCGGCCCCTGCTCGGGATGTAGTAAATGTGGTGACCTAGAGGAGGAGTTGAAAATTGTCACCAACAACTTGAAGTCCCTGGAGGCTCAGGCTGACAAGGTAGGACCTGGTGGGTTGCTGGGGCTGGGCAAAGTGCGTGGGGTCTGGGGGTGCTGAGGTGTCCTGCTGGGGTGAAGGACGGCTGGAGGCGTCCCATGGGGCTCACGGGCACCTGTCTGTCTCTGCAGTACTCCACCAAGGAGGACAAGTACGAGGAGGAAATCAAGCTTCTAGGGGAAAAACTGAAGGAGGTAAGGGGTGTGGGGCCAGCACTGGATCGGTGTGGGCATGAGTTTGCCATCCCGTAGGGGTTTTGACCCTGTTATGCCCTTGTCTTCTCACCCTTCCCAGAACTGCTGCCCTGCAGCGTGGCAGCTGCCTGAGTTTGGGATGCCCTTATGGGAGGCATCAGCCTGCTCTGGTTTAGAGTGTGGGGATCCACAAGGCCCTTGTCCCTTGCCTTTCTCAGGGTGTGAAATGAGGAA